AGTAAGAGGCCTTCAAGTACAGAATTTGGTCTTCTATTACAGTGTTTCATCAATGTAGGAACAATTACATCATTTAAAAATAGTATTTCTGACCTAGGAATGATCTTTTTATTGTTGTTAAATCCTTATCACAGGACCAAAGCTCTACAAAGAACCTAGTGCAAAATCCAATAAGCATATAATACAAAATGCTTTAGCTCATTGCTGTTTGGCTGGAAAGGTAAATGAAGGTCAGAAGAAAAAAATACTGGAGGTAAGCATGTTTGCATAAAAATTGAATAATATTCTAAAACCATATGATGGGTCTTCTCTATCAATTCAAGAAAATCTACTCTCATAGGCCTCCTAAACTTTCAGTAATATATAAAAAGATCTGTAATTAGATTGAGTTATAGTTCATTTTCAAATCAGGTTCTAGAAGTCTGCCAGTTCTAGTAAGTCTGCAGGTTCACTAGGAATAGACTTTAAAATTTGTCATTAAAATAATGTCTTAAAATGTGAACAAGAACTGTAACACAATTATATAAACTTTATTCAGCAAAATGTTTAAAGATTTTTTATTTTGTTTTGTTTTTATTCTAAAGGAAATGGAGAAGTCAGATGCCAACAACTTCTTAATCTTGTTCCGGGATTCAGGCTGCCAGTTCAGGTCTTTGTATACGTATTGCCCAGAAACTGAAGAAATCAATAAGTTGACTGGGATAGGCCCTAAATCTATCACTAAAAAAATGATTGAAGGACTTTACAAATATAATTCTGACAGGAAACAGTTTAGCCACATACCTGCTAAAACTTTATCTGCCAGTGTTGATGCAATTACCATTCATAGCCATTTATGGCAGACCAAAAGACCAGTAACACCCAAAAAACTCTTACCCACTAAGGCATAGGAGTTGGGGAATATTTGCTTCAGAACATTCATGGTAAATTTGCACTTCATCTTTCCTGCCTGTAGAAAATCTTTCTAATTGCCAACAAGACTTTATTAATTAAAACTGGACATTAAGCTCTGTTGTCAAGAACAACTGGAATGTAAACCACAGTATTTTGGAATGCAGAAGATTCTTGCTTAGGTGAAAAGTCCAAGTGATGAAGTAAATGTTTTGATCCACAAATGGAGATGTGTATGTTTTATCAGGTTCACCTGCTCGATAGTAGATACATTGAAGCACTGAATTTTCGTGGATGCTGGTTGGATTTACGGTGGAAATATGGCTAAGATTACAAATTATGTGTTTTATTTGTTGCTTTTTTTTTTAAGCCTTTTACATGCTTGTCTCTAGGTATTTTATTTTGCTATTTTTCTCTCCTGGGGGTTTATTCTAAAATAACTTTGTATTTTGGTTCATGTAAAGATCATAAAAATAGGATATACACCTTCAGAAGTAACTTGCACCTTTCTTATGATGTTAAGAGAAACACTAGTGTTTAGTTTTATAGTAACCCTCATTTTTAATGGTGTTAGAGCATTTGCAAAAATTATTCTGCCAAGTATTTACAATTCTATATTTATTATTCACTCAAGTATTAACATTTCTTTATTAAATAAGAGGAGGTGTTGTAAAGAGCTGCTAGTCGGGTCGCTTTAAGCCACATGAGCTTAACCGAGAATATGTTATAAGAAGTTGCTGATTGAATCAGTACTGTTTTACACCACTTCTGGCCAAGGCAGAATAATTTAGATTGTTCTTTTCACAAAAAAAAGGCTTTCTATCTCTTTTAAAGTAAGTCACTTTATAAGCTGGCAGAAGTGAATGACACTTTGAGAGTAGTCTTTCAGTCTGAAGATGTAAGACTTCCTAAAATGAGTTCTCAAGAGGTCTTTACATTATATTTATAACTGATATAAAAATTATATTTAGAATTTTAAAACATGTACAAAGGGCTACATTTTAATTTTAAAATAGCTTCACATTATTTTACTTATATTGGGCTTTTCTTCTTCTTTTTAATCCCTTTCAAGTGGAACAGCTTAGATTAAGTACTCACTTGAAATCTCCTCCACATAATCTTTGTTCTTTAACAGTGTATACCAGAGGGTTAGTTGGGGAAAAACTTCATTCTCAGGAAAAGACTTGAATGATTATGTGACCCTGTTTGTTATGTTTCAGTGTTGTGACAACTGTGTAAACCAGGGGGGAAAGACAGTATTGTATCATAAATGAGATGCGTAGTTTGTTTTCTTTCATGGGAAGTAGAGATGAAAATATCTACATTTCTCTAATTGAGTTGTTTAGAGAGAGAACTAATGTCTCGTATGATGTATTTACTTATTTTACAAAGAAGAATAGGAACGAGATGTCCCTGAGCTGTACTTTTCTATTATTATAAGGCCTTTAGGCATCAGTGCATCTGGGTTATCAACATTTTCTGAAATGCTGTCGATATTTTACTGTAATTTATGTTCTTATATTTATGTATATTTGTTAAAACTGTAAAAAAAATTTCACAGATTTTTTTTCCCAATACCTGTGCAAGATACATGTGTAGCTCAAAACTATTTGTGATCTACTGTTTGCATGTAAGAGACCAGGATATGTAACTCTTATATTTTAAGTGGATACATATTATGTATATAATATATGAAATATTAAAAATGGGGAAATGCACATTTTACCTTTCAGACAATTTCCATCACAATTAGAAAGAAATGATTGTCAAATACGTGTTTAGATTAAAACTAGTTTTAAGAATATAAGTCAATCTAATCAAAATGTGTTGAAAAGAGAATTTAATAAGCATTTTACATTGCTAAATTTATTCATTTCAGTTAAATCTCCCTTTTCGAAGCACTCTTTGTGATTACTTGGCTATTAAATAAGAAAAATTAGTTGCAAAACAATAGAGGGACTATTTATAACTAAACAGGACCATCCTTAATTCTTAAACTTGTGTGTGTCCAGCAACTGAACTGAATGTCTGTAATGTTGAAAGGTAGAATGTGCATATTGCCACAAAGTTCATTGCTCTCAGTATAAGATTTTACTTTATTAATGCAGAAGGAATGTGGATATATTTCTTTAAGTCTGCAAATTTTTTATTATGGTGCAGCTTTTTTTTAAAATTATGTATTTAGAATTACACAAATGAAGAATATGCCATTTCATAAAGTCTGGGGATTTTCATTAACTTTACTGAAACACACTGGTGCTTTCATCATCAGAGATCAAAGTATTATGGTAATTATCCAATTAAATTTGCCAAATACTTGTCATGGTTACCAGTGCAGCCTGTCAGGTTCTACAATTTGACACAGCTTTGGAAAGCTTTTAATTCTTCTCAGTTTTTCAATTTTGTATTAGAATGATGGTTACAGTTTTTATTTGGCTGTTTAAAGTCAAATTCAGCTATATAATTATGGTTTCATGGACACTGCTGAGCAATGTACAGGGTATGGTGTGCTTACCTGTCCACTCTAGAGCATTGCTTACAGATTTTTTTAAAGATGCTGTGCTGTAAAATACTGTCATATTTACTATTTCCTGGTACAGTGTAGTTTTTCCCCTTTCATTTGAATAAAAGCATGGCACCAAATGACTCCATTTCTGTTTTTTGAATAAAATGTATTTTTTGGTAAAATTATTTGAACTTGGGGAGAACTCATCATACAGTTTTTCTATCCCTTAAGCTATATTTAAATTTAACAGTTCAGATATTCATAAGAGGCAGTTTTTAATAATATCAGGCATTGGTTCAATACTAAATGCAATTTTCAAAAGTCTATTCCTTTTAATGCTTAGCTCAGACAGTGTACATAGTATGATGTATAAATGTCTGTGCTCATCTTATCTTAATCTTCTCCATATTAATTCACTGTCCTTTGATAAATTAATTAAATCGTGCCAGAATTACTACTCTATGTCTTTGAAAGATTGAATGGCTAGTGAGCTCACTGTTCATCAGCCGTAGGAAACTATTCTTGACTGTTGTTACCCTCTTAAGTTTCACTTTGAATTTTTTTTTTTTTTTTTTTTACACAGAACATGAAACTTTATTATCTCCAATGCTGGTGCATAACAAATAACAAGATAAATTAGAGGAGGAGACAGAGGAATAGTGAGGAATTTCTGGGCAGGCTTAAAACTTTTAAAGGTTGACAGCATAATTGTTCATAAAGTTTTTTTACATGAAGTTCCTTTTACTTGACAATTTTTACTAACAATTCTTACAATATGAAGTTCAACTGAAGTCTTCACTGGTCAACTGAATGAAAAAGAGCAAGCAAAACAAAATTTCTCTAGTACACAAGGGTGTTAGAAATAGTTTTTCTTTGTACTTTCACATATATTTCAATGTGTAGAGTGGAAACTTTAAGGTTATCTTAATTTTTGACTTTCAAAAAGGCATGACAATGGATTTTGTTAAATTATAGATCACAGTATCTTACAAACGATCAAATACAAAATTTCAGATGCTCTTGGAAACACATTTTAAGATATTTAACATACATAATACATGTTTCTTAGTTTACTCATCCTTGTGGGATAAGGAAGCATACTCAATCTTACGCTGAAAATTTTGCTTCTGAATTTTCAAAGTTTTCTTAACAGGCTTTCAGTCCAAAAAAACTCAGATATCTTGTGTCCTATTGGGATATGTTTTTCTCATTAATTAACATCAGTGGGCTCTTGTATTGGTAGTCTGGTCATGACTTACTCTTGCAAAACTACCTTTACTGCAAAACAAATACGAAAGATGTTTTGTTTTCCCCAATGCAAGGAAAATAATCTGAATCAGTAACAAAGTCAAAGTCACAGGTGTTTCGAGACATTCTTGAGAACAGACATCAACAGTCCTAAGATTCTTTTTCTTTCATGATTCTCTTCCTTTTTCAAAACTGTACAGTCACTGTCCAATTATCTTCTATTCTGAAAAACAAAAACTCGGTTTTTTTGAAGATCTAGTTTTTCATTGGCACAGGACTATATGGAATGAACCCAAAAGATAGTGGCAAGCTGGGTCTCTCCTCGGGTAGTTTCCTCCTCATTAACAGCATTTAACTAGTCTCTATCAATAATTTCATCACAGCCGAGTTCTTCGGGCAGACGATTGACACCCCTAAGTGAAAAAAGCTCTTCAATAAAAGCCAACTGGTCGAACGGGGTCTTCTCATAATGCATCTGAAACCCGCCATCCAGAGCTGCTTCTCTGGCTCTGGATGATCGCAGGTACATCTTGTTGGCCTCTTCAAGGGCCGCTGAGACTCTGTAGCTGGCACCACTCAGCTGCTCCTCTTCCAGACAGTTGTAGTCATCCTCCCAGTCATCAAATTCCTCGCTCTCGTCCTCACTCTCGAAGTCTGGGCCTGCGAGCTGGCCTGGTTGCTTCTCAGGGCTGGGCCCGTTAGGCAGGCCCCGCTTCCCTGCTGGCGCCGCCGCCTTCTCCATCGGGCCTTCCTCCTCCAGCTGTGGCTGGGCCCTGCTGCGGGAGGGACTCAGGGATGGGTGTCGGCCCCCGCTGCCTACCTCCATCTGCGGAAGGTCACCCTCACCGAGCATCACATCCATCTGCAGGTCATTGCACTCTTCGTACAGTTCACACAGCTCAGCCATTTCCGACATAGTGCAAAACAAACTGCTCCTTTTTTTTTGGACAGAGTCTTACTCTGTTGCTCCAGGATAGAGTGCCACGCATCATAGCTCACAGCAACCTCAAAACTGGGCTCAAGTAATCCTCTTGCCTCAGTCTCCCAAGTAGCTATTAACTACAACACAGTGCCCAGTGTGTGTTTTTGTTTTTTTTTTTTAGTAGAGACATGCTCTTGCTCTTGCTCAGACTGGTCTTGAATTGAGCTCAGGCAGTCCTGTCGCAGCTTCCCAGAGTATGAGGATTATAGGCATGAGCCACCATGTCTGGCCAATTTTGCTTTGATTTTGCTGAGTCTTCTTATCCACACCACAGCAATGAAGAAAAAAGAGATCCAATAACAAAATAATAAAAAGAACTTGATTTATAATTACCTACCTGAAGAATATCTGCAGTTAGTAGGTATAAATGTGGCTCTCTACATTAGGACCTTTTGAAACATTTTGTAGCTTTAGAACAGAGCTACATTTCTTTTTTTTTTGAGACGGAGCCTCAAGCTGTCCCCCTGGGTAGAGTGCCATGGCAGCACGCTCACAGCAACCTCCAACTCCTGGGCTCAAGCGAGTCTCCTGCCTCAGCCTCCCAAGTAGCTGGGACTACAGGCGCCCACCAGAACGCCTGGCCATTTTTTGATTGCAGCCATCATTGTTGTTTTGGCGGGTCCGGGCTGGGGATTCGAACCTGCCACCTTAGGTGTATGTGGCTGGCGCCTTAGCCGCTTGAGCCACAGGCGCCAAGCCAGAGCTACATTTCCATAATATTTTCTAGTACTTTAATTTTCAAAAATAAAAATATTTACCCCTAAGATTTGGACAGTATGAGAGAAGCATACACAAACCTTGGAGCCCACACACAATGTAACCTTATCTGACTAATTAATTGATCGTTCCTAACAAAGGCAAAGGAAATGTAATGAGTAGGAACAGACACCTTTATTTCATAACTTGTCTATACAGAAAGAAAAGAAAGTACAGCACAAAAAATGTAATTTATGCTGTGACCTAGGAATTAGGAACTGGAAAAACATGTCTAATAAATGAGTTTGAAATTCCGTTATCCCTCATAAATGTACAGATGCTGAAGAAATAGATCTATACCATCTTAAATGGAAGTTTTGCTTTTAAAAAGAAACAAATGAGTTAATCATCATTTTGCCTCTTTTGTTTTTGTTTCCTGAGACAACGGTCTCTATTGCCAGTGTAGTGGTGCGATCATTGCTCACTGCCATCCTCAAACACCTGGACTGAAGTGATCCTCCAGCCTCACCCTCCCAAGCAACTGGGACTACAGGCATGTGCCACCAAGCCTGGGTAATTTTTCTATATTTGTAGAGAAGGGATTATGCTATGTTGCTGAGGCTGATCTAGAACTTTTGGCCCCAGGTGATCCTAACTGGCCTCCAGTGATTCTCCCAAGTTGGCCTCTCAGAATGCTAGGATTACAGGCATGAGCTACCTCACCCAACTGATGCTGGCTAATTTGATGGGGGAATGGAGGGGTGGAGGTGCACAGAGTTGGTATGTCAGAGTTGCTCTTCAAATAAGAACATCTAGAGCAGAGGTCGTCAAACTTTAAACAACGGACCAGTTCACTGTCCCTCAGACCGTTGGAGGGCCGGACTGTGGGCCCCAGGATGAATCAGCTGCTAAGCAGGACAGGCAGTGGTGGCAAAAACACCCAGCGGGCAGATAAATGTCCTAGGTGGGCTACATGTGGCCCGCGGGCCATAGTTTGAGGACGCCTGATCTAGAGTCTAGTTTCAGTCACCTGCTTTTTACCCCTCTGGCCTTAAGGATTTCTAATACCTCAATATTCCAAGGGTAGATGTTTAGACAACATAGTTTTATGCATGTATTTAATATGATGCACTATTCCTGTGATATTCATTACTATAGTTGCCTCCATCCACAGTAGCTTATATTTATGTAGAACAATTGAGCAGAAATTATTATATTCTTTGAAGAGGAAAAAACCAAATGAATGAATAAATAAAGTTTTTAGTCCACTACCTACTAAAATTTTTTACATGTTAAGCAGAGCCACTACGATACCTAGGCTACAGATGTATTTTATTCTTAACCCCAGTCTGCTATTTTTGGTCTTTGCATCTGTGACTTCCTTCACTTAGTGGGCATTAAGGGGCTCAAGGATAAAGGATGGCGTGTATAGTTCACAGTGCCTGCAGTTTGCAAATACATTCAGCTGCTATGACTCCTGGCCCAAATCAGTTACTCATACTTGAGGGTTGGAATGTTTCTATAAAAATGAGAGTGGTACTCAACTCCAAAACAAATAGAAACTATTCACTTTAATGTTGCTATAAAGAAGCAACATTTGCTTCTTTGATTTGCTTCCTCTTTTAACTTAACTGCCACTTGGAAAGAGGTAAGTAAATCCCCATTTCACAGATGAGGATAACAAGGCTTTAAAATGTTATTAGCTGTCCCAGGAACTAAAAGCTAGTAAGTGGGGCATCAAAACTGAAGTCTAAGCCTTCCAATTTCAAATCCCCTTCACTGTACCACCTGGTACCAGAATTTCCCACTGCATTATAGATGTTGTGCAATAAAAATACTTTAAGGGTCACAATTGTACTAGATAAATAATGTATAAACCATTAGTGGAAAACTTAAAGTGGATTTTGTTCTTTTGCCTAACACTCTTAACCAGCATCACTATAACAACAGCTAAAATCAAACTGTTAGGCTCACCTACTCTTGAACATCTAGATTCTTAAGGATAGAAGAATGGAGAAATTGCAAAAGTGGTTAAAACCTAATTCTGATAACAGGTTGATCAGATTTATCCAGGAAAGAGTCATTAGATACAAGGGCTAGCTAGATCACAAAGATACTCCTCTACCAAGAAACTCAACAGTCTTGAGGCTGATGCCAGTAGACTTTTACAAACACCTGATACATTATATGCTATAACAGGTATGGGCCAAAAGTAAAGACAGGCCTTTTCCTTGTTCATCAAGCAAGTTAATAAAATTGTCTTACTAAAACTGACTTTAAAAAGATTATATTACATTGCCAGCCAATAGGATGCCAGTTACATCCTAGTCTTTTTCATGCTAGTGAATTTTCAGTCCCAGAGACAGCAGTTCTGGTGATAGGGCCTAAAGGCCCTTCTTTGTGATCATCAAATGGAACTGTAAACTACATCCTCTTTACCTCCTTAGCCTTAGCCTCTGGCTACTGTTAAGTATTATACTGCTTTTACTGTTCTGTTTCTGCCTACCAGATGTAAAAAAAAAAAAAAACCAAAATGTGCAGTCTCATCAGAAGGCTGACATTTTCTTTTTTCTTTCCTTTTTATGTATTTTTTTGTTTGTTTATTTGAGACAGAGTCTCACTTTATTTCCCCATGCTAGAGTGTTGTGGTGTCAGCCTCGTTCACAGTAACCTCAGACTCCTGCGTTAGCCTCCAGAGTAGCTGCGATTACAGGTGCACACCACACACCCAGCTAATTTTTTCTATTTTTAGTAGAGACACGTCTTGCTTTTGCTTAGACTGGTCTTGAACTCCTGAGCTCAAGGGATTCTCCTGTCTCACCCTCCCAGAGTGCTAGGATTAAAGGCACGAGCCACCTCACCTGGCCCAGATGGCTGACTTTGAACACTTAAGAGTACCACAGCTATATTTGTATACATTAGGAAGTGAGTTTGTGCTTGGATTCTTTATCTTGACAGTGCCTCAGTACAATAGGTATTCAATAAATATTTGTCAAATGAATACATGGAAGGAAGACAACCCAGTCCTGGTCCAAAATTTAAAATGAAATCCAAAACTTGTTCCGATTTCTGCTAGGCCACCTTTCATTGGTGGCTGAATGTATAGGCCAAAAATACTATAGATATTTTTGCCCCCAACATATAAACCCCAAGTTGGCTTTCCTGATCTGACTCCCTTTGGTTCACACCATTCCATAGGACCAACCCAAGTGCAGCTTGAAAATCTGAACTGTTGGTCACTGTGACAAAATGATGTTCCACTTCCCTTTTACCTTCTCTCTAGCTCCTCCTGCAAATTACCGGCCGGTCTTACGGCTCAGTTCTGCATGTTATGCTCTGTCTCTACTCTGCTTCCAAGAAGGCTGTCAGTATCAGTTTCAACTGACACCTACAATGAGAATCTATGTCACTAGCCCTGAAAGCTCACCCTGGCCTGCCCGTGCATCTAACTGCCATATCAGCACTTTTGCCTGGATGTTCCAACATCATCCTCATGTCAACCTGTTTAAAAACGAGAAGTCAACTTCCTTCTTGACATATAGCCAGTCACCAAGACTGAAACCTTTCAAGGTCTTCTCTTTCCTTGCTCTCTGTCCACCATGGAATGACTTCATGCCCAGACAGCCATCAAATCCTGTCAAATATTTATACTTCAATCTGTTCCTCCTCCTCATTGCCACCAGCCTCATGTCCAGGGACCGGTAACCCATGCTTAGTTCTATAAGAGCTTTCAAGTAGTCTTTCCTTAATTCTAATTCATCCTCCAAACTGTCCTGCAAATTGTTACTAAATCTTTTTTTAAAGCAAATTTTTCATGCCATCCCTACTAGTCAAAAACTTACAGTCATGCCTTATCACAGTGTGAAATCAAAATCTTGCGATCAGCATTCAAAGCCCTGGCAGGCTTACCCCAACTTAACCTTTTCACCAGTACCAGAACACTTGATAAGGAAACACTTGATAGAGATGCTAAAACTGAGAAAAGTTTGACATTTCAAGATAACTCATCAAAATCGTCATGAAAACAATCTTATTTTGCAGTTCAGTATTTTTATTTTGAATTGCAGGGAGGATGGGGATGGGGTTTGAGGTAGTTATGATCTTTTCAGTCCTTGGAACCTCTAAAGGTATTAATCCTGGTTTTCAGTCTGTTCTTATTCACAGACTTCTTCAGAAAGGCTGACCTGCTTCAACCTTGACATAAGGCCATCTGCCTTGTCTCAAAGTTATTTGTACAT